TAATCAAAAGTGAATGGTAAAGGGGAATAATTTCTCTCAGTAGAATACAAAGTAATAGAGTCCTGGCCAGGACCCCGCCCTTACACCGGAACCCCTGACCTTGGGGCCATGAGATTCACAATTTTGGAAGAGGCACCCTTACTCATCATAACTATGTGCTTAGTTAGTTTCTTTAATACCTAGGAGCAGAGAAGAAGGCTTTCAAAGAATTAATGCATTTTCCCTATATAATCAATAGAGCCCCGCCCTGACACTAGAACCCCTGACCCTGGGGCATGAACTTCACAATTTCGAAAGAGACATCCTTTCTCAATATAACCATGCACTTATTTTATTTACTAAATACACATGGGCAAAGAAGGATTTTTCAAATAATGTAAACATTTTTACTATATAATCAATAGAGCCCCGCCCTAACACCAGAACCTCTGACCCAGGGTCCATGGAATTCACCATTTTGGTAGAGGAGGATACCATTTTACAAAACCAACACACATATCTTACTAGGTTAATACAATAAAAGGGTAGAATATTCATCCTTTTATTGTATTAACCTAGTAAGATTTTTTCTAAAACTTTCTAGAAAATCTAATGCAAAAAATATTTGATACTAGCAAATACTAAATATTATATAAAGCGGGCTTAATGATACATAACATACATAATATACATATATAATGCTGTATAAAGAATAAAATTAATGTACATCCGACTATATAGTACACTGATTTTGACAGACTATTTAAGCTTCTGTACTAAATATTATATAGAGAGAACTTAATGGTGTAAAAAGGAAAGACTTAATGTTATAGCATCCGACTATGTAGTATTTTGATTTGGCTTCTGTACTACATATTATATAAAGTAGACTTGATGAAATAAAAGATATACTTAATATTATGTGTAATGGACACTATGATGCATATTAGGTACCCTCAAGACAGCTGTGGATTCCATATGTTTTTTCTTGTCATTATTTAATAAAAATATAGATATCATAAAAAAATAATTATAAGCCTCTCCACTGAACCGATCCAAGTATTTCATGTCACTTAGTGTATAAACTCCCGCCGCAACTCATGAGACTGATAGAATGCATCTCACGCTAGACTGGTCAATGTAAAATGAACCCTCTCTGATACAGGGTGTTTCGTAATATACATGTATGTTAATTTTTAAATCTAATTATTTTTCTTACCTATCATAATTTTATTACAAACTATATATCATTTTAAACATCAAATCCTGCATTTTCATTCCATATGAAAAAGTCAGGGAAATCATGGTATCACAATGATTAATTGTGACATAAACACCGATGTCAAAATTTCAATATTTTTCGAAATGGACTTAACTTACCAACATATTGCTGAATTGTAAAGCTGTTTTTTCAATACATGTCGCCAATATTCATTCAGAAGTTGATAAAGGAAATATTCAAAAGAATGGAAGCTTTTTTAAATTGCTGATCAGAAGGCTATTAACAAGGTTAAAGGACAGGGACGAGCAATATGCGATAAATGACACGGTGCTCACGAGAGCCTAAGGACTTCAATAATCGAAGATTTACTTGGTGCAGTGTAGACTCTTAGATAGTTTAGCAAACTCCTGAGAAAAGTGTCAGATAGATGTTTTCAGGAATTGATGCTGGCAATATCAGCATTTTCAGTATATATTGAACTTTGAAATATGATATGAAGTTATCAGCGTACAAATTTTCAATTATGCAATATCCCAAGAAAAGCATTCGCCAGTCTCAATCTTTGGGCTTTTTCTGTGGGGGTTCTTTAGGAATAGGGTCTACAATCCTAGACCACAGATACTGCATGAGCTCAACAGAAACATAAACCTTCAAATGAGGAGTGTATAAGGAAAAATGTGTGACATGGGTATACAAATCTCGAGAAGCAACTTTCATTTGTAGTTGAAATAGTGGAGATCATCAAGAACATATACATGTAATATGGGCTTTTGACATTGTGAAATTCAACGTAACAAAAATGACGTAATTTAGAAATTTCACTAATTTTCATTAATGTTTGATATTTCGTCCAATGTGCAATATTTTAGTTGGTAATTGTACATAATGAATCTTATAGATACATGCATCAAGTTGATAAAAACACTTGTCTATATCTTTTTTCTTGTGTTTGTGAAATTGAAGATTCAAAATGTAACATATATTATGAAACACCCTGTATGAATGAATATACATGTATTATACCAGAAAGGGTGTGTGTGGGGGGGGGGGGGGGGGAGGGGGGTTAGAATGGGGATGCGAGGGGTGTGTGATTTCAATCATTAAACAATTGAACGAGTGAGCTAATTCCTGTCCCATTCTACTCAATGTTGATAAAAGCCGATTATACAGATATAAACATTAAAATGTCTTTATTCATTATAAAATGAATAAGTGCAAGATTGCAGAAAAATATACATGACCTGCTTAGACTTCCGTAGGTTATGAATTTTCTGCAATGTTGCAACATATTCATCCCGGTATACACAAAGAAGATTACAATTTATTTTTTAAATATTTGTTTCATAACTTGGATGTCCTTTCATTGACTTTTTCAATTTTATTGAAAATAAGCGAATCACTTTCTACATCATAATTCCTTAACGATTATATCATCTCGGAAATTACTTTAAATGTTTTAAAATTTGTGAACTATCTTCAGCATAGACGGATGTTTGGTTAAGTTTAAACATCCGCATAGTAATTTTCACATGCCTGATATATTCATTTTTAGTCAGCATGCAATTTTCTAAAATTCACTCAGACACCGAGCTGTTGCTGACTTTATCCTTGTAAGTCCTATAAGTATCCTTATACATGTATCTTAATATCATTCCCATAAGTCTAATTATCACTCTTATTTATTATTATGAACTTTATATCTTCTTATTCTACGGATTTTCCCGTTTGCCCGATCATGACAAGGAACAAAAGGCGGGTGTGACCAGTCGACAGGGGATGCTTACTCCTCCATGGCACCTGATCCCAACTCTGATGTTTTAGAGGTCCGTGTTTGCTCTGCTTCCCCAGTTTGTATTGTTTCAATAGACTTTCCAGCTTGATTACTGTTCGTTATCTTCATATTTCATTATAAATATTATTATCCTTGTACATCATATCATTATTCTTGTATCTCATTTTCATTCTTACGTCACTGTTATCCTCGAGTCTCATTATATTTCTTATGAGTCTAACCATTATCCCTATTCCTTATTAATATCCTTATAGTCCTATTGTAATACTTTCAAGTATTATTATTATTCCTATGTCTTCTATTTAAGTACACGTTCATTATAGACTATTATTTTCTATTCCCTCACTTCTTCCAAAACTTTTTGTTTTTGATCTGGCCCCAGGACCATAAACTGAGAACAGACTTCAGTCAAAATTTTAAATCGATATAATTTTTGAAATAATTTTGATTATAAAATAAAAAATAAATATAAAAAATATATTTTTTATATAAAAAAAAATTTAAAAAAATCATATGTTTGAATAGAAGTGTTATGTACAATTGCAAATTTTAAAGCTAAAACGTTAAATGAAACTTAAGATATAAAAAATACTTTTTTTTTTTTTTTTTTTTTTTTTTTTTTACTTAAGTCTGTTTTCAGTTTATGTCTTGGGGCTTAATGAAGCCATGTACGAGCAATTTATCACTTAAGAATAGAAAAAAGGAGTCGTAGGTTGTTAAAAACAAAGCTTACGGTTTATACTGGTTTTCCCAAAATCTCACCTGTAAATAGAAATATTGAAATAAAGTTAGACGGGAATACATGTAGTTTTATATTCAGAATAATATAATTCGTAAGAAATAGTAAATGCATTTCCTCTTTTTCCTTAAGCTAAGATTTAAGAAATGTATTGCCGTTTCGCACCTTTGAAACCTTTGCTTGCAGTTCAAGTAATTTTTATCTTTATTTAAAATTGACAATGCAAAACTCTTCATACCGTATAACAGGTTATTTTGTTATACCTTTAAAAATTTGTTCGAATATATATCAATACTAAAAAAAAGGCTAACATTTCTAATGTTTTACTGAGCAGGCATAAAAAAATCGATGTTTGACCGCAGAGTGAGATATTAGATCGCTTACGTCACATAATGGGCATTGTCAGCTAAATCTCATTTGCATATGCTGTTGTTCGACATTCATGTATGTCAAAAAATAATAATGATAAAATAAATAAATAAAAGGCATAACAAAACATTTATTGACTGCGTTCTCGGACAAAATGCGCTTTGTCGACCCCTCGAACCAAACTGTTTGCCTGAGGCCTAACGGCCTCAGGTAAACAGTTTCGTTCTTGGGTCCGACAAAACGCATGTTACCCTCGAACCCAGTCAATACATGTGAATGTAGATTAGTGACCGGCAATTTACATGTTGTGATTTTATCCTTAAAGTGGATAATTATTATGAGTGTGACTAATTTTTAGCAATTTTAGGAATAAATTATTTATTTTCTATGACAGTATATGCGATTAAAATTATTGGCGACATTTATTTTTATCGTTGCCCATCGCTAATAATGCCAAAATAGATGGTCGCTAAAAAGCCGTTATACGGTATATAGATAGAGGAATGCAAATGCTGACGGTTTCATATCACGTCAAATTACTCTTCTTAACTGTTTTTATCTCTTAAAGCGGCATTTAATATTTTTATTAATTTGACTAATTCAGAAAGCATCAACAGTTTACTATTGTTCCCAACATTCATGTTTCATGGTTAGTAAAATGCCCATGCATGTACACTCAACTGTGTGCACAATAACGTTTTTCAGTACAGGTTTACGGGAAATTGCTCCGCATTATAAGTGTTCATATAAGTATTATAAGTACAGATAAGATATAAAAAATAATAACTTCCGAGTGATATACAAAATGTTGTATCTATTCAGCTTCCTTCACGCATTTCCTTGCCCGGTAATGTACACGTCTCACCAAGCTATATGAATCCGTGATTGTCCGTCTGATCAGACAGCTTGTGTACAATAAACTATGTCGTCGGATACTTCAACCGCAAATGTTAATCATAAACAAGTAAAGTAGAGATTCATAAACAACAAAATCTTATCATCTTTACTTTCATGGACAAGTATGGATAACGTTACCAGCCAAATTGCCGAGCAAATTAGACTGGAGCAATGGAACAATGAGATGTCGGTAGCGTTTCTCCCAAACACCATATTTCTGGTTTTTAGTTGCATCATTGGTGTCTTTGGGAACTCGTGCGTACTTTATGTTTATGGCGGCCGGCTTCGTAGGAAATACGAAGGGCGCTTCTTCGTCCCTTATTTAGCAGCAGCCGATTTAATAGTGATGGTTGTAGCTGTGGGGTTGAACATCTCGATAAATGTAAATCCCGTCAACTACAAGAACAGTGTCGTGTGTACAGGAGGAAGTTTTCTTGTGGGACTTATGTCTGTTTGGTCCATTTGCATTTTAATACTCATTGCCTTTCAACGCTACCAAAAGATATGCAAACCAATGACAAATCATATGACAAGATTCCAGATGAAATTGACCTTGGTTTTCTCTTTTATCATTTCTCTCCTTCTGAACGTAATTTTCATTTTTACAGTTGGATTGAGAGATGTGAAATTGAAGAATCTGAATGTAACGGGGAAAACATGTGAACGTCTATCCGAGGAGAGTCCGGTCTTGTCAATCGTTCATAGTGTTATTCTGTCGGTCTTCGCTGTTCTCAGTTGTACTGTACTAATTGTTTTATACGGACTCATCGGAAAAGCCATTTACCGGCATAAGAAGATTCAAAAGAATTCCTTGGAAATCAGAAGTAGCAGGAAGTCAAAGATCACAAGAATGTCGAAGACAACACTGATGTTTATGATTATAACAATTATTTTTATTATATCGTATATACCCACGGGAATCAAGATGATCGTGGAAAGCATTCCAGACTTTTCTACTGTTTCTCTACTCTGGAGATTCCTCACCACGTTTTTTGTCGTTAATCATTTTGCCAATCCCATTGTATATGCCTTTATGGATGTGATATTTTCTAGAGAGTTGAAGAGAATATTTCGTTGTGGAAAAGAAATATTACCAGGAGATTCTGACTACAGTGAGCGGAACGAACAAGATACTACAACATAATATTTATGATTGCTTTCAGAACAATTTGATCAAAGATATCAGTCACCAAGAAAACAATTACATGCTGTATTATTTAGATTATCATCTGTTGGAGTATAATGAATGTTTACAATTTATTAGTTTGTTTTCAAAGTAAAAAATAAAATGAAAAGATCACAGGAAAATTTGAAGAACATTTTGAAAATTTATGTATGTATGGCTTTTCGTTTTTATTGTATCATTGTAAAGTAATTAGTTGTGAAATATATAAATGAGTAATAATACTTTTTGAATTCATTGTAAATGCAATTAAAGTGCATACTAATTATCCAATGATGGCGTTACTTTGTTGTTTTATTTTTGCTGAGAATATTAATATCATTGTAGTCCTTTGGGACCGGGTCTTAGACCTTTTTTTTTGAATTTCGAAGGACACATACTGTCCTCCTTTCTTAATTATCCGACTGCTTTTACATTCTCTGAAGCAAAATCTAATCAGAAACTTTTACATCAAAAGAAGAAACTTCTAACTGTGGCCCTCAGTTACAATCAATAATAGTTATTTTCATTCATCTGTCGACCTAATGTAATCCAAGTGAACTCGAAATAAAAGACACAACTGAGTCTGCCGCATCTCTACAATATTTGGATGTTTCTGACTATGGACATTAAGCCAACTAACAACTCATTTGTATGACTTATCTTTTCCGTCGTCAACTCCCCCCATTCATGCAGTAATAATCTACAATCACCTGTATTGTACTACTCCTAGACACGGATGTGACAGGTCGACTACTATTAGGCACCTGATTCCACCTCTGGTGTTTCTAGGGGTCGTCCTTAGTTCTCCTAGGCACCTGATCCCATCTCTGGAGTTTTCAGGGTTCTGTGTTTTTTGTTCACGGTTAGTATTCTTTACTTGATAATGAGATCGACAACTCTTCATTATCCTCACTTTTACATCAGTATGAGGTTTTCTTTTTTTCTGAGTTCAACATTTTTGGGAAGAACAGGATGTCCTTGAATCCGTCACTGCTGCTTTCTTAGTTACACCTGGATGCTGAGTCCGCCACGCTACACAGACTTCCTTTCAGTCTTGTCCTCTTTGGGTGCTGGGTCTGCCATGTTGTACACACTTCATATCAGTCTCCTCCTCTCTGGTCCAGTTATTAGTATGCCAAAGTCCCTCAGTGCTCTTCTTCTTCATTATGAAATATGAAGATAACTAACAGTAATCAAGCTCAAAAATCCATTGGAACAATACAGATTGGGAGGAGAGCAAACACGGACCTCTAAAACATCAGAGTTGGGATCAGGTGCCATGGAGGAGTAAGTATCCTCTATATATCGCCGTCTGTATTCTGTTTGTGTTCCGTGTGTTCTCCCGTGGCTGGTTGTTGTTATCTCTGTTGAGGGATTCTTAGTAGGAAACCTCTTCACTGTCTAACACTTGGTTGCTGTGGTTACTTTCGTTACATGGTTACTGTGGTTACTGTGGTTTCGTCCTGAACAACTTCCTCCTTCGTCTCACTGTGCGGGTTTTTTTTTTCAACGCTGAATTATGAAATTCAGTTACAGTAATGAAATTATTCAAAACAGTATCCAGGAGAAAAAACTAAGTCAGCAAGCAGCAATTCTTTGGATAGTGAGAAGATTCGAGAAAACGGGGTCCATTCAAGACATTTCAATAATGGCTGACCAAAGTCCATGGAAAAGAAAGCGCCACAAGGGAGATGAGAACAGTCACTGAAGAAACTCAAACAGATCTGTGAGAAAAACAGAGATTTTAGCAAAAGGTTGATGGGACAGTCTTCACTAGTTTCTCCCACTAAATAATAATTTTCAATACTTAGTGGCCTTTGCAATTCAGAATTGCTAATTAGTGCAATACACTTATATCTATATCAAAACCAAAATTTCAAAACAGTAAGAAAAGGGGTGCCCGAGTGCGTGGTTCATCCAAGCATTATGTTTTGGAAACGGTTCACATTGTGGATGCATTCTTTCTTCTTAAATTTATTAAAATTCTATTGATATTGGCTATTGAAGTAGACTGAAAATTTATTTGTTTTTTACACTTTATCCTTTTTATAATAGAAATAGTCAATGACTTAAAAAACAATATACTGTAGGATGATTTATAACTCTATAAGATCATCGCGTTTTAGTCAGCATTGAGAATTAGAATTTGTGAAGCATTTCTGCCAGTTCTGATAATGTAAAGATAACCAACAGTGTTCAATCTCACACATCCAGTTAATAATACAAATTGTAAACAGGGAAAAAAAATCACGGACCCCTAGAAAAAGGAGGGTTGAACAGGTGTCTAGAAGGAATAAGCATTCCCTGTCGACCGAGCCCTCTGTACTGATTGATCTGATTGATTAGGAGGAGTAACCATCACCTGTCGACCGGACACACCCGCCGTGAGCCCTCTGTACTAATCAAGTAAATGAAATATATCAAGTAAATGAAATAAAATCCACTTGTGACGTCACCTTTTTGTTTGGGCGCTACATTACTCTTCAGGAATGGAGAGTTTCAAATTACATTGAAAACGTTACAGGACAAGAACTTAGAAAGTTTTATTTTCTAATTTTAAAAGTTATAATTTCATATTAAGGGGAAAAGTGTAACACTCCTGGTGGCTGGAACCCGTTACTTTTACTTTTAAAATTCTGAAAATCTAGACTGGAAAAACTGAATTTAACACTTTTCCATATAGTTTATTTGTTAGTTGACCATTCACATGTATAATCCAAGTATAAAGAAGATGTGGCAGACTTTGTAGTGTCTTTTATTTCGAATTCACTTGGATAAATTGAGAAAACATATGAATGGAAAAACACTATTGTTAAATGATAAAGCATCTCTGTATAGATATCGAAATGTTGAATTGAAAACCACAGTAAGAATCTTCTTCCCATTTAGAACTTTTAAAATATATTCTTCTTCACAGGAATATAAAAACAGGTCGTCTGAAAAAGACGACAATTAGTGCCATCGGAACTCCAGCATCTTTTTAGTATCAACTTTAGAGTACATGTATGTAGAATCAGAAATGGATAGGGGGCTAGTTGAACATTAACTGGACCCTGCTATATGTTCGTAAGGAATTGTACACCTAGTAAAAGAATATGTTTTATGAAGTTTTGGAATCCAGTATGAATAGCTATGGTAAATTAAATTCATTTCCTTTGACTGGAATATTAAAAGTATTTAAAATTGAAACCCAATTTTGAAGAATTTTGTCAATTTAAATGGAACTATGAGTGAAAATATAATGTTATTGCTATCACAAATGGAATACTTTTCCATAAACTAATTACTGTGGAATCATCATTATTCGTGGGAGACCAATGTTCGTGGATTTCGTGGGTCACAGTTATCGACGAATGAACATCCCCACGAATCGATTTACTGTACGAGATATCCCACGAATATACGTCCCCACGAACCAGTAAAACTTCTGTTACCCACGAACATTGACCCCCACTAAATAAATTATTCCACAGTAATATCATAATGAGAACTCTTACTTATGCCCTGTTAATTGAAATAAAAGTGTCCGTGAGAAAAAATAAAAGTGCTAAATTTGTCATGTTTTTCCAAGAAAAACGAGCAAAAATCCCGAAAAAACCTGAAGTCATACAGATGTATATATACATATAACTTGTTTTAATTTCATTTTCAGCAGAGAATGAGTGGATCGCTACAAATTAAAAGATCACCAGTTTAAATCTAATAACATTGATCATTCATTTCATGACAGAGATCGCAGAATCAAATTATGTTTTTCTATAATCATAAAACCCGTTACTTTAACATCCCATGTCAAATTTATTTCCTTTGAAAATGAGGGATAAGCATCTTAATTTTTCAGATAGTGTTCAACTTGACTTATGGAATAAAGCAATTGTAGATTAAGATTTGTCTCTCTCCTACCAATCATAGTCTGTTTGTATGTTTGTTTGTCGGATTCCTTGGGGACGGGGTAGTTATCTACGTTTATGGAGTTCCTCTACGATGAAAACAAAATGGATATTTTTATTCATTACTTTGCATTAATGGATCTTATTACTCTCATGTTATCTATGGAGTTGCATTACTCGTTGAACACTTTTCCTGTAACATTCAGGCATGAAGAATTATGCAAATGGAGCTTTCGTGCATTTTGGGCAACTGTACAACGATATTTGAACGTAGCAACGTGAAAAAGAATCTCTTTTAGACACGGCTTTTTTCTTTTAAATAACATTAGAATTGTTTTTGTGAGCCCGTCTTATTTCACATTTGGATAAGAAGCAGTCTATAACAAAGACTTGAACATGATCGGAACTACTTTTGATAGATGGACCTCTACCACACAAAACGGTCACTCATTCTCAGCATCATCTGTGAACTGCTGCTGATCACTAAGACAATAATATTAACTGTTCTATGTGCAAAAATAGCAAGTCATTTTTCCTGGCAGTAAGTATGTATTATCGAAGAAATGCTACTTCAACAAAAGAGAGCAATATAAACAGCAGAAGATGATTTATTGTCTCCTTGATGTTTATGACGATATCTTTTCTGCTACGAATGATAACGTTTCTAGTGAAGAGTACAAAAGTTGGAATTTGAGAAAATCTTTCAGTTGAGGAATATGGTGCAGTTAGAATTATTCTTTTACGTTTTGAAACATCTTATAAACCCTTGTATTACACAGAATTCAAATGCTGCATACTTTGTAAAATAAAAGAGGATGCTTTTTCAACTCAACCGAGAGAAATTTTTGAAATCGTGGATCGTAATTACCTTTTCTGTGATAGAAAAACTGTAATGTAACTATGGACACTTCCTTCTTTAACTTTTGAAAGGTAAACAAATATATACAATGTATCAATAATAAAGGGTACAAATATTAAAATGTATATCATAAAAAATATTTTTTAGACTTTTTTTTATCAATGATTTATTCCGATCAGCAAAAGTTAATCAGAATGTCATTTCAGTGGATATTCTAACCTAAATGGACAAAACAAGGACATGTTAACTCATGGTGTTTTACTTTCGTCATTTTGACCAAATATTGTAAGATTTTAATGTGGTATGCATCTAGAACCAGCATATCAAGGGTGCTAAAACTTATTAATGACAAAATATTGGTTTATGCATAAACACTTTTCATTCTAATGACGGGCGGTATATAATAATGAACACCAAGTCATCATACGGTACTGTGTT